AGATCTATACTGTGATTTCCTCTTATTAAAAAAAAAGGTAAAAAATCAACCTTAAGAAAAAGGAAAAGGCTTAATACTCATGTGTTCCTGTACTTGGACTCATGTTTTTTCAAATGATACCACCTACTTAGAAGGTTTGATTTTTCTGACTTCAAGCCTACATGCTAGCTTTCTGTTACATAAAGCAATTCATGATGAAGAAAAAAACTGCAAGCCTGTCAATGCTCAAACACCTTTAACAGGAATTAACACCTACAAGAGAAAAACCTTCATGTAAAATTGTTCGTTTAAAGAGTTGTTTTACCAACAAACAAGGCTGAGGATATGGATCAGTGAGGATATAGGTCAGTGGTAATACACTTTCCTAAGTATACTCAAGATCTCACTCAAGAAAAAAACAAAACATTTGTGTTAAGTGCTGATACTTAGGCAGATGAAATGACTCAGTGGGTAAAGTTCTTTCTACCAAATTTGGTCACCTAAATTCGATCAATCCTGTGATCCGCTTAGCAGGAAGTGTAAGTTGTTCTTTGACATACATTATGTATGCGTATATACATATGCACATGCTCACACACACAAATGTAGTAAAAGAAACAAATTACATTAAATACTGATATTTAAGTTTCAGACTACATACTCTTAGTAAAATTTAATGCACAAAAACTTAAGAATTATACTTTAGAGCCTTTAGGGTCTGATTCTGAATGGTATGATTGGATTACCTAAAACTACTTTCAAGACTCCCAATACATGAAAACTTCATATTGTCACCAGAAAAAAAAAGCTTTATCAGCTATTAAATAAGTATTTATTTAAGAGATATAAAGGTTCTTTAAGCATTCTTGATTTACACCAGGTGTGGTGGTCCACACTTGTAATCCCAGCCTTCAGGAGGCAGGGGCAGGATGATCCCTGGGTTCAAGACCAACCTGTTCTACATCATGAGTTTCAGACCAGCCAGTACTACACAGTGAGACCCTGTCTTATAAAAAGAGAACAAACAAATATATATGTATATATTCTTGATTTAGAAGTTTTAAAGTCAGAGTATACTAGAGTTGTTAAAAGAAATACTTTGAAGGCTAGAGAGGTGATCCACTGAATAAGAGCACCTGGTGCTCTTGTAGATGACCCAGGTTCAGTTCCTGTACCCACATGGCAGCTAATAGTTATCTGTCATTCTAGTGAATAAATCTAAAGAACAATCAAAATTTTTAACATAGTTAATAGCCATGTTGACAGATGAGTATTCTGTTTGTTAAGTGTATTTGTACTTTAAAGGGAAAATGGAATTGGGAAATTTTTTAGACCTTTACATACCCAGTTACTTCTCTTTAAGGACATAGAGGAAAATACCTGTAACCATAAAATGAATCAGAACTTTACACTAGAATTCTGGTCATCAGTACTTCTTCCCGCCTTAGTTATTTTTCACCCAGCTGTAGTTTGTTACTTTACAAATATATGGCAGTCACACTAGTTCAATGGTGCTCCCTGAAACTCACTGGATCCCTTTGAGATTCAGAAGTTACATTATTTCAAATTTTCTGTTTGTGGCTCTAGTTGTGAAGAAACACTGATAGTATTTTGTTCTAAAATGAAATATTGCTCAGTACATTTTTTTAGTGTCAACACTGACTGATTTTTAAAGTTTGAATGATGTACAGATTTTGTTTTTTTTTAATGCAATATCAATATTTGCTGAAGCTCTCTAAATTCCTTACCGAATAAAGTTAATTCAGTCTGCATTGGTCTCAGATTATCTTTCCTCGAATACTTTGTGTTTTGCTTTTTCTCTAGTCTTTTTTTTAAATTGTAGACATCTAATAGAAGTATTATTGTTAATGTATCTTTTTGCATTGTTTGAGACAGAGTTTAACTGTGTAACCCAGGTTGTCCTGGAACTTGCTTTGTAGACCAGGATGGCCTTGAACTCAACAGAGAGATCTTCCTGCCTCTGCCTCCGAAGTGCTGGGGGGTATATATAGTGTGCATCTTTAAAAAAAAAACAAAAACCTTTTCTTCTACTTTATCAAGTATACATTCTTTTTAAAAAAATAAATGTTATATATTTTACTTTATATGTGTTTTGTTTTTGTTTTTGTTTTTTTTTTTTGTCTCCATGTATATCTGTGCATCATATATGTGCCTGGTGCCTACAGAGGCCAGAAGAGGGCATTGGTTTCCCTGATATATGAAAACTTAATATTGTCACCAGAAAAAATACTTTATCAGGAATTAAATAAGTGTTTTTTAAATTAAGAGGCAGAAAAATTCTTTAAGAATTCTTGACTTAGCGGGCTGGAGAGGTGGCTCAGAGGTTAAGAGCACTGCTTGCTCTTCCAAAGTTCCTGAGTTCAATTCCTAGCAACCACATGGTGGCTCACAACCATCTGTAATGAGATCTGGTGCCCTCTTCTGGCCTTCAGAGATACGTGCAGACAGAACACTGTATACACTTCATCATTGCAGAAGGAGGAAAAGGAGAAAGAGGAGGCATGGACATGAAATACAGATCGACTAGGGTCCCTGCAGTTCATTTCATACACTTGATTATTCCCTGTGTAACTGGCCATGTTGGGCAGTCTGTGATTGGTCACCACAATGCTTCTCTGACTTCTGATTCATCTTCTGGAGCAGCAATCTCTAGAAACCAGTGGAATTAATTAACTAGAGTTGACGTCTGTTTTAAAAGAGAAACTCGACCTTGAATTGTGGTGTTGTATAAGTGCATACAGCCGTCTATAGCATGTGCTGCTTTTTTTTTTTTTAAACAATCTATCTTTTTTTTTTCAATTACAAATTACATATTATATATACTTTAGTGTTTGCCTCTATGTGCCTTTTCTTGTGAGTGTGCATGCCATGGTTCAGGTGTGGAGGTCAAGGAACAAGTCTTAGGAGGTGGTGCTATCCTTCTACCAGGAATTGAACTCAGCCTTGGTTGTAAGTTCCTTTACCTGCTAAGCCATCTCACTCCACATCAGCATCATGAGACTAGAAAACTAGTAAACAAACTCTGAGATCGGAGTTGTCTCTGAGCTTCTTATGCTATAACACATGTATGAAGGTTAAGACTCAAGGTTGTCCTCTGATCTCTAGATAGTTGCCTGTACTCAACAAAATTTAGCGTGCACATTTAATGCACACACCCCCACATGAACATAAAATGAACATAAAAATGAAAAAAGAAAGAAGAAAACATACCTGCCATTTTTATTGAACTTAATACTATTTTGTTTTTACTTTAATTTTTTTGAGGCAGTGCTATATGTAGTCTAATGGTGTGGGATATTTGATGATATTGTGAAAGCCTGAGATTGTGTTAAAGTCTGCCTTGGGTGAGGGGGCGTGGCCAGTGACCAGTTGACAGAAGGAGGAGGGAAGGACTGGGAGATTGGTGGTTATTTTTTGGTTTGTGATGAGTGGAAAGGCGCTCTCTTGCTGATTTGCCACAGACAAACTGAGAAGTCAGCAGATTTGATGAGATACCTGGGAAGTCCTTTAGGGGAGAGTTAAAGATACTAAAGATACTTTCCCTCATTAAGAATGGGAACTATCACAATGCAGGGAATTAGGACTCTGCTTAGCGATACTATGGATGGCTTGAAAATGGAAAGGATAAATGAGGGGATGAACAACTTAGCTGGGATTGACATATCAGTGGTAATTACTGTCGCGTGGTAATTCATATTTTATTATCCTTAAAAAAGTGCAACACGAATTCTAAATGGTCTTTTAATAAAAATTCCTGGTGCAAGATTCTGCTGAAAAATCAGAGAAGCAGAGCAAGCCATAGCCACCACCTCTACCTCACCAATTCCTCAGCCTGAAAGAGCCTCAGCTGATAGGCCTCTAGCTGAAAGGGGCACTTCTGCCCAAAAGCCTAGCCAAAAGGGCTTCCTCAGTCAAAAAGGCTTCTAATAGGCCGGGCGGTGGTGGCGCACGCCTTTAATCCCAGCACTCGGGAGGCAGAGCCAGGCGGATCTCTGTGAGTTCGAGGCCAGCCTGGGCTACCAAGTGAGCTCCAGGAAAGGCGCAAAGCTACACAGAGAAACCCTGTCTCGAAAAACCCAAAAAAAAAAAAAAAAAAAAAAAAGGCTTCTAGTTCCTGTCTCCTCTAACCTTATATACCTTTCTCTGCCCACCATATCACTTCCTATCTCAACTTCTCCAGTGCTGGGATAAAAGACGTGTGATTCCCAAGTATTAGGATTAAAAGCATGTGTGCTTCCCAGTACTGGGATTAAAGGTGTGTGCCACCACTGCCTTGCTCTGTTTCTCTCCTAGACTGAGTCAATCTCATGTAGTCCAGGGTGGCTTTAAACTCACAGAGATCTAGACAGACCTCTGCCTCCTGAGTGCTAGGATTAAAGGCGTGTACCACCAGGCATGAAGATTATATCACCCCAGAAGTGGTTTCATAACTGTGCCAGAAATGAAACTTGATAAGATACAAGCCTTACTATTGATAAGACAAGCCTTTAAAAGACTATTGATAAGATACAAGCTTTAGAGAGACTTACTAATGAAAATGAGAAAAATTTGATTGATACAAGCCTTAGAAGGACCTGCTAATGAAAAAGAAAAAAAAAAAACCATTCAGACACAGACAGGAATTTAGAGAAGAACCAACTGCACCACTGCATAATGAAACTGAAAAGAGGTGGCCCAAGGTTATTAGAAAACCACCTTAGTGTATCCAGTTACTATACAAGGGCAACTAGCAGACAGTAGGCACCTGCAAGGTTATGAAGAAAGTAAATGTAATCCTCTAGAAATATTAGATTTGAGGAGATTTAAGGAAGCATTCATTTCATTTGGTATTCATTCACCCTATGTGAAGCAGATGTTAAATTCATGGGCAACTCAGAACTGAATTATCCCCCAAGACTGGAAAGATGTAGCTTACAGCAATATTGGAAGCTGGTCCTCAGTTCTCAGTGGAGAACATGGTGGAAAGAGGAAGCTAGGGTCATAGAACAAT